ATGTAATTCTTACCTTATATTTTCTAGAGGTAAGGTATTTTTTTTATCTCTGACTGCTTTCAGGATTTTTATCTTTATCTATAATTTGAAAATGGCATGTCTAGGTGTAATTTTTTGGGTATTTACTCTGTTTGGTGTTCTTTGAGCTTCCTGAATCTGTGGTTTAGTGTCTGACATTAATTTGGGGGAAATTTTCAGTCATTATTGTTCCAAATGGTTCTTCTGTTCCTTTCTCTGTTCACCTTTTAGTGTTCCCATTATACGTATGGTACAACTTTTGTAAATGTTCCACAACACTTGGATATTCTTTTCTGTTTTTTCACTTTTTTCTCTTTGCTTTTCAGTTTTGGCAGTCCTATTTTGATATCCTCAAGCTCAGAGATTCTTTCTTCAGCTGTATCCAGTGTACTAATAAGCTCATAAAGGGCATTCTTCATTCTGTTACAATATGTTTCATGTCTAGCATTTCTTTTTGGTTCTTTCTTAGAATTTACATCTCTCTGCTTACATTGCCCATTTATTTTTCCATGCTCTCTACTTTTTCATTAAAGTCCTTAGCATATCAATCACAGTTGTTTTCAATTCCTGGCCTGATAATTTCAACATCCCTGAGTCTGGTTGTGATGTTTGCTCTATTCTGTGTTTTTTGTCTTTCAGTATGTCTTGTAATTTTTTGTTGATAGGTGAACATGATGTACTGGGTAAAAGGAACTGCTGTAAATAGGCTATTAGTAATGTGGTTGCAAGCTGTGGTGGGAGGGGAAGCGTTCTATAGTCCTAAGATTGGATATCAGTATGTTACTGAGCCTGTGCTTCTGGACTGTGAACTTAAGACAACCTTGTCAGTTTTTCTCCCCCACTTACTTGTTTTGACAGGGTGACTAGAGTGGGCTGGGGCTGAATATTTCCCTTCCCTCAAGTCAGTTAGGTCTGATAAAATCCCAGCAAGTTAGATTCTGGTTGAAGAGTTTCTCCTGAAGATAGACCTTGTTAAGAAGAACAGAATGCTCTGGCACATTCAAAGTTGTTACCCCTATTGTTAGTACAAGGGGATTTTTCTCTGATATTCACTGTGAAAACCTCGTAGAGCTCCAGGATGTAAAACTGATGAAACTGTCAGGGCTCCCCAATGATGAGGCTCCCCTGGAGTTTTTATCTCTCAAACTTGTCCGCACTGAGCCTCTAGCAATTTTTCAATAACAGTTCAGGTCTCCCTACACTGGTACTGATTTCCTACAAGGGTTCCTGATCTCATAAGCTGTGATTCTCTTTATTTGTCTGTCACTCTCTCCAGTTTGGAGGACAGCAGTTGGTTCTGTGATATTACTTCCCTTACAGATCTAAGAAGAGTTGTTGATTTTTCAATTTGTTCAGCTTTTTACTTCTTGTTAGAACAAAGTGGTGACTTCTGAAGTTCTTATATACTGGATTGGAAACTGGTAGTATTCTCTGGAGTTATTAAATATAGGATCCTGTGATCTGCAAATAGAGATAGTTTTACTTCTTCTTTTCCAGTTTGGATACCTTCTATTTCCTTTTCTTATCTAATTCCTCTGGCTAGAACCGCCAGCATAATGTTAATTGCAGTGGTGAAAATGGGCATCCTTGTCTCATTCCTAAACTCAGGGAAAAAATTTTCAGTCATTCACCATTGAGTATGATGTTAGCTATGGGTTTTTCATAAATGTCTTTGATCATGTTGAGTATATTCCCTTCTATTCCTAGTTTTCTGAGAGTTTTTATCATGAAAGGATGTTGAATTTTGTGAAATGACTTATGTGCATCAATTAAGATGATCATGCAGTTCCCCCCTCCCTTTGGTTCTTTCAATGTGATGTATTAAATTGATTTATTTTCTTACATTCAACCACCCTTGCATTCCTGGGATAGACCCCACTTTGCCATGGTTTATAATCCTTTTAATATGGCTTTGGATTTGGTTTGCTGGTGTTTTGTTGAGAATTCATACGTCTATATTTGTTAGGAATACTGGTCTATAATTTTCTTTTCTTGTGATATTATTCATATGGCTTTGGTATTATGGCAATGCTGGCCTATGGAATGAGTTAGGAAGTGTTCCCTATTCTTGTATTCTGTGGAAGAGTTTAAGAAGAATTGGTGTTAATTCTTCCTTAAAAGTTTGGTTCAGTTCACTAGTGAAGCTATCTGGTCCTGGGCTTTTCTTTGTCAGGAGGTTCTTATTACCAATTCAATCTCTTTGCCTGTTGTAAGTCTGTTGAGACTTTCTATTTTGTCTTGCATTTAGGTAATTTGCGTGCTTCTCGATCTGTCCATTTCATCTAGATTATTTACTTTGTTGGCATAGAGTTGTTCATAGTATTCTCTTATAATCCTTTTGCTTTCTGATGATAGGTATTAATATCCACTTTCATTTCTGATGTTATTTGTTTCCTCCCTTCCTCCCTCTCTCTGTCAGTCTAGCTAAAGGTTTGTCAATTTTGTTGATCTCTCAAAGAATGAACTTTGGTTTCATTCCCTTTATTATTATTATTCTGTTCTCATTTTATTGAACACTGCTCTAATCCTTATTATTTCCTTCCATCTGCTAGCTTTGTTTCCTTTGCTCTTCTTTTTCTAGTTCTGTAAGATATAAAGTTAGGTATTTTCTAATTTCCCTTGTGATTTCTTCATTGACCCACTGGTTGGTTAAGAGTGTCTTATTTCATTTCCACATATTTTTTTAACATTCCAGTTTTCCTTATGCTATTGATTTCTAGCTTCATTCCATTGTGATTGGAGTGGATACTTTGTGTGATCTCAATCTTTTTACATTTATTGAGATTTATTTTGTGGCCTAACATCTGGTCTATCCTGGAGAATGTATCAATTGCACTTGAGAAGAATATGTATTCTGCTGTTGTTGGGTGGAGGGTTCTATATATGTATCTGTTAGTTCTAGTTGGTTATACTGTTGATCAAGACATCTATATGCTTATTTATCTTCTGTCTATATGTTCTATCCATTTTTAGAAGTGGGGTATTAAAGTTTCTAACTTTTATTCAAGAACTTTTTTTCTCTTCAATTCTATTGAAGAGTATTCTTAATGAAGTAAAGATTCCTACAACCTTTTAAAGGGGCCAAAATAAGTTGCAAAATTTACATGTGTATACCTTTAAATCAAGAAATTCCACTTTTAGAAAATATCTTAAAGAAATGGTAGTATGATAATAATAATAGCTAACAGTTATTGAGCCTTTACTTTGTGCCAGGCCATGGGCTAAGCATTTTAAATGCATTAACTAATTTATTGGGTAGTTTTATTATTATCCCAAATTTCCCAAATCTGTAAATGACACAAGAGATTATGAGTGTCTGATAGGTAGGTAAACACATGTGACTCAGAGTTTTCAATGAGCAGTGTTTGTTACAGAAAAAAATAAAAATCAAACTAGTGGACAGAATGGTACTAAGAATTAGAAAACCTGGGTTTAAACTGTACTCCATCATTTAAGACTATAAAATCCTAAACTCATCTGAGTTTCGCTTTCCTCAAATGCAAATAATCTCTAAGATTTCCTCCAGTTTGCACTTTGTGATTCTTGTGCTTACCAAAATCACCTAAGATAGTGCTGGAAACAAAGTAGTCCCTGACTGAAAGTTATTTGAGACGGTAATGTAATGACTTCTACACACCAATCCTGCTCTAGAAGCATAGGTTATTTATAGAAGAAACATAACTATTTTGGAAAGCTAACCAAGACTGTGCAATCATGATCAATCAAAACAAAACAAATAATATACCAGTCTATGTTTTCAATAAGCTAAGTCACAGTTTAGGTGGGGAGACATTTTGTGAATAAATAATTATAATAAGAGCTATTGTAAAGTTATTAACAAAATTCTATAGCAGCAGAGAATAAGGAATATTTAGACTTCCTGAGATGACATTCAACTTCATTCTTATATTTGCTGGATGAATAAAATACTAGACTAGGCACGCAAGGAGTGTGTGGAGGTGGTGGCTGGCAGACAATGCAGAGGAATTGGGATATGCAAAGGGTAGAGTCAAGAAAAGGCAGACATCATATTCAGATTATAATTTAGTGTTATAGAAATATGAAGTCAATTAATCCTAATTCTCTCACTTTGACATGTATAATATTATTACTATAGCTAATAGTTACTGACCACTTATGATGTGGCAGCTTACATACATGTATATGTACTCCTTACATGATACCAATGAGATAGGGTTTTACAAATGAGAAATTAAGGTCCAAAGAGATTAAATGTTTTGTCCAGCGATACACAGCTGGTAACTGATGAGGCTGGGCTTTAAAAGCAGATAGTCCAACTCTAGAGCTGGCACAAAGATTTCCCTTGCTAAGTACTTCTGCTGAGATGTTTAAATCCAGGCCAATTATCATCTCATCCCACTTAACAGAAGTATCTGCAAAGCTACCTCTGAGCCTCTCCTAAGTCACTTAACAAGACAGAGGATCTGGACATCTAACCCTGCCTCCCATGAGATTACCAATATATCTTGTCAAGGTATGCAGCCCTTCATAATTTTTTTTTTTTTTTTTTTTTTTTTTTTGCAGTACGCCCCCCTCTCTCTGTTTTGGCCTCTCCTGTTGCGGAGCACAGGCTCCGGACGTGCAGGCTCAGCGGCCATGGCTCACGGGCCCAGCCGCTCCGCGGCATGTGGGATCTTCCCGGACCGGGCACGAACCCGTGTCCCCTGCATCGGCAGGCGGACTCTCAAACACTGCGCCACCAGGGAAGCCCCCTTCATAAATATTTTAACTCCTTCCTGAAAGATTTCTTCTCCCCACTAAATACAGCCGCCTTCCCTTTCCTTACAGCATGATTAAGAAGTCTATACCAGCTTCCTATTGATAAGAATGAGAAATAAGAATACTATGTTTGAAGGATAGCTAGTTTTTACTCTACACCAAAAAGAGAACATAACATAGTCCTGTTAAGCAGAAAGAGGAGAAAATTAATTCAACTTCATAAATATGAAATCAAACGATACCTTCAGTCCCTCTAATTCATTTTGCAGTTGCTTAGAATAGTGCTCGCTCTGTTCGCGCAATTTCCTGTCTTTAGATGCTTCAGCAGCTACAGCTTCTGTACGAACTTCCAGCTTTAAAATAAAATGATAAAAGCAGATTTCATGGTTATAATTGTTTCTCCAATAAAATGTCTCCCCATGGGAATTTACCTTGCAATAGATAGATAACTCAAATGTTGAAATTCATATTAAATATTATTACCAAACTAAAAAAAAAAACTCTTTTCAAAAATTAAAGAATGAAATATATATTATTTCACTAGTCTGAAAAAGCAGCTTTAATCACTACCCCATGGGCACTACAAATTTGCCTGACTACTAACCTCTTTTTTGGCTCTTTCTGTTCTGCGCAGTTCTTGCCTTAAGCTTTCAACTTTTTGCATCACCAGGTCCACCTCTTCTTCCTTATCTCGGACATGGCGAGCAAGTTTCTGTTTTTGGGTGTGCAATTCTGTTAGCCGCTCATTGATCTCCATGAATTCCTGCATGGCCAGTTTCCTCTGACAGTGTGCGTCTTTCAGCTCTTTGGATTGGTTTTTTAATCGCTCACTAGCCTGGACTAGTTCCTACAGTTTCGTAAAAAGAATATAAGTTACCAATTCTGCACCCTAGGGACCAAATTTGGCCATCAAAATATTTATCATGAAGTCAAGAAGAGCCAAAATTATTCACCTCAGAACAAAATTAAAAGAAATGAACTACTTTTGAACAGATACTAGGAGCATGGTGCTCTGTTCATATTCTCAATTCCTTATGCTAACATGCTAACTGCAAAGGAACAACTGATTTAACCTTCCAGTACCTTAGTTTCAATAAACAAATAAACAAATAAAGGTATAGGAATACAAGATACAATGGTAAAGATAAAGATTTTGTGAAATTTAACGGATATCTGTGAGATTTTTAAAAATTATATCAAATGATTACAAATGATAAAAACAAGGGCTGTATTTGATGTGGAGACTAACTCTTGGGCCAGCAGCAAAGAGAAAAGCTAATTAAAGTGAGAAACTTAGAAGGAGCTGAAGTAGACTTGGGTCAGCAGAACCACTTGTCTCCCAGCAAAAGGAAATGCAACCTTCTTTGAGGAAGAGTCTCAATGATATCTATTTTTTTTTTTAAGAGCATACACATATGAGCTCACAACCATAGATTTCCCAAACACCCAAAGGACAAACAACCACAAGCAAACATTACAAACAATAAAAATAAACCCCAATGGTATTTGGATATTAGAACTATCAGATACTGATAAGACTGCTATACATGAAATGTTTGAAGAAATAAAAGGAAATCATAAAAATAGGAAAATGACAAAAGACTATTTAAAATGATGAGGCAAAAAGACTACGAAAAACTGTTTATAAAACATTGTATAGAGCTTTAGAAATGAAAAAATGTAAGTATTAACATTAAAAACATGAATCTACCAATACAGAAAGCTCTACCTTTATGAAGAAAAATAAGAAGAAATTCAAACCCAGAAACTTTAAAAAATAAAGTATATAACATTAAATAAAAATAAAAAAATAGAAATCGGAGGGAAAAAACACAAATCACCTATTCCCCATCCTCAAAAAGGAAAAAAAAAGATAATTAGAGCAGACATCTAAGAAGTAACAATAGTAACAGGAGGACATATTTTTTAAGAGATAATAATTAAAATTGTACACACAGAAAAATTACTTTTGAAGTATGAGGCTACTTTTGAAGTATGAGGCTAAAAAATAATGAGATTCTTACAAACACAAATTGACAGAGCTTACCACAACCAGATCTGAACTTAAAGGAACCTCTAAATATTTATTTCAGGAAAATGAAAAATGATTTTAGAAGGAAGATCTAATGAAAGAGAAGTGGAGGGCTAAGAAATTGGTAAACATAAATATAAATGTAAGCAAACTTGTATATAAGATTGTATTATTGTCTCATTTGTACAGTAAACAAAAAGGACATAACTAACATATTGGTCCAAAAAAGCACAGTAGTTGGGAAGAAGCAATAGAGTTAAAGGTCCTCAAAGTGTTTGGGAGCAACAGTTTAAGATACTGGGTTGGCCAAAAGGTTCATTCGGTTTTTCCCGTAAGACGGCTCTAGTAGTGCTTAGCTGTCTTTAACCTCATTCGAAACAATTTTGTTAGATTTTCTTGTGACACCTGTCATAACAGTATACATTAAAAAAAAAAACTTAACAAAACTGGTGAATTTTTGTGTAGCCATTTTAATACTTAAGATGGAAGAAAAAAGCAACATTTTCAGCATATTATGTTTTATTATTTCAAGAAAGGTAAAAACTCAACTGAAACACAAAAGGAAGATTTGTGCAGTGTATGGAGAAGGTGCTGTGATTGACTGAACGTGTCAAAAGTGGTTTGCGAGGTTTCATGCTGGAGATTTCTTGCTGGACGATGCTCCACAGTCAGGTAGACCAGTTGAAGTTGATAGTGATCAAATCGAGACATTAACTGAGAACAATCACTGTTATACCACGCAGGAGATAGTCGACATACTCAAAATATCCAAATTAAGCGATGAAAATCATTTGCACCAGCTTGGTTATGTCCATCGCTTTGATGTTTGTGTTCAACATAAGTTAAGCGAAAAAAACCTTCCTGACCGTATTTCTGCCTGCGATTCTCTACTTAAACGTAGCGAAAACATACCGTTTTTAAAGCAAATTGTGATGGGTGATGAAAAGTGGATACTGTACAACAATGCGGAAAAGAAGAGATCGTGGGGCAAGTGAAATGAACCACCACCAACCACACCAAAGGATGGGCTTCATCCAAAGAAGATGATGTTGTGTATATGGTGGGATTGGAAGGGGGTCCTCTATTATGAGCTCCTTCCGGAAAACCAAACAATTAACTCCAACAAGTACTGCTCCCATTAGACCAACTGAAAGCAGCACTCAACAAAAAGCATCTGGAATTAGTCACAGAAACCGCATAACCTTCCATCAGGGTAACACAAGACTGCATGTTTCTTTGATGACCAGGCAAAAACTGTTACAGCTTGGCTGGGTAGTCTAATTCATCTGCTGTATTCACCAGACATTGCACCTTCAGATTTCCATTTATCTCAGTCTTCACAAAATTCTCTTAATGGAAAAAATTTCAGTTCCCTGGAAGACTGTAAAAGGCATCCGGAACAGTTCTTTGCCCAAAAAGATAAAAAGTTTTGGGAAGATGGAATTATGAAGTTGCCTGAAAAATGGCAGAAGGTAGTGGGACAAAAGGGTGAATACGTTGTTCAATAAAGTTCTTGGTGAAAATGAAAAATAAGTCTTTTATTTTTACTTTAAAACCGAAGGCACTTTTTGGCCAACCCAATATTAAATTTAAAAAAAAGATATTAAATTTAGACTTTGTTAAATATGCACGATAAAATTCAATACTACTAGAAACTGCTAGAATGAGTAGTGAGCAAAACGAGAACAAGAAAACAAAAACCTCAATTAAAAATCAAGAAAAATATTTTCAAGATGAAAAGAATTCTGGAGATTGGTTTCACAACAATGTGATGTACCTTACACTACTCAATTATACACATAAAAATGATTAGGATAGAAATTTTATGTTATATATATTTTGCCACAATTTTAAAAAAGAGCAAACTCAGCCATAAAAAGAATGAAATAATGCCATTTGTAGCAACATGGGTGGACCCAGAGACTGTCATACTAAGTGAAGTAAGTCAGACAGAGAAGGACATATGTCATATGATATTGCTTATATGTGGGATCTAAAAAAATGGTACAAATGCACTTATTTACAAAACAGAAACAGAGTTACAGATGTAGAAAACAATCTTATGGTTACCAGCGGGGAAGTGGGGAGGGATAAGTGGGAGATTGGGATTGACATACACACACTACTATATATAAAATAGAAAACTAATAAGGACCTACTGTATAGCACAGGGAACTCTGGTCAATACTCTCTAATGATCTATATGGGAAAAGAATCTAAAAAAGAGTGGATATGTGTATACGTATAACTGATTCACTTTGCTGTATAGCACTAAGTAATGCAACATTGCAAATCAACTTTACTCCAATTAAAAAAAAAAGAGTGAGAAAGGAGATAAAGATAAGCATAGAAAATGCATGACAAACAGAAAACAAAAAGTGGTAGAAACATGTCCATATAGATTAGTAATCAAAATAAGTATAAAAGGAGTAAGCTCACCAGTTAAATGCAGTTTGTTATACCAAATTATGAAATAAAATCTAGACTTAAATAGAAAAAGCATCATTATAGCAATGATAAAATTCTATTCACTAAATTCCACTCTAAATTTTTGTGCATTCCATAAGATAGACTCAAAATATATTAGAAAAAAAATTGCTAGAACTTCACAGAAAAACTGGTGAATACATCATCATGAGAAAATCCAATTTCTCAATCATTAATAGATAAACCAAGCAGTTAAAAAAATAGTGAATATAAAGAAGATTTGAAAAGCTCAATTAATAACCTTCCTGTATATTTAGAAGCTTGCATCCAACACTGGGAAACACATTCTTCTTAAGCATATATTGAATATTTAAAAATGAAAAGGTCTAGATCATGCCGTAATTCTCAGTAGATTTCAAAGAACAGATATCATACAGATCAAATTCTTTAATAATATTACCATTAAAATAGAAATAAAAAATAACAAGGCTAAATTCCATAATAACTCACAGATCAAGGAGAAAAATCATAAAGGGTATTAAAATATTTAGAACTAAAAAAATTTTAAATACAGAAAACAATAAAAATGTTTAGTAAAGACTAAAACTTGGGGATGCAGTAAAAGGTATTGTATATACATTGGGGGAAATTTATAGCCTGAAATACTTACACTGAAACTAAAAAAAAGTTGAAATTCAATGAAATTCCACACAAAAAGTTAAGAGAGAACAACGTATTAACCGCTTCCGCCAATATGAGATGATAATAAAGAACATAAATTAATGAAAAGGAAACATGAGAATAATGAAGATCAACAAAGCCAAAAGCTAGTTCTTTGATCTCACTAAATATCTGGTGAGGTCAAACAAGGGAACAAGAATAAATGCACAAAGAAATAATATGAAGAAAGAAGGAGAGGTTATAACTACAAATCTAGGAGAAATCAAAAAAGGTAAAAGGATGCAATAAAAAATTTTATGCCAGTAAATTTTTCAACTTAAGAAATGAACAAATTCCTATAAAAATAAATTTAGCAAAACTGTTTCAAGAAGAAATAGAATGCCTGAATAGTCCTATAACAATTAAAGTAACTAAACCAATAGCTAAAAAAAATTCCCCATCCCCCCAAGTGGGAAAAACAATCTCCAGACTCAGATGGTTTTACAGATGATTCCTCCAATGTGTTTCAAGGAACAATACATTCTTCTTTTACAAACTTCTCTAGAGAACAGAAAAAGAGGCAGTGCTACTCAGCTAACTCTATAAGACCAGTATAATCTTGATACCAAAGGAAAAAAAAAAAAGAGAAAAAAAAAGCCAATCTCATTGAAGAAAACAAATAAAAAGTCCTAAAAAAACCCAAAGACATTATTAGCAAATCAGGTCAGTGATATATAAAGTGGGTAAACATGAACTCTGGAACTCAACTCCCTGTGTTGAAATTCCAGTTCCCCCACTTTCTAGCCCTATGATCTTGAGCAAATGTACCTAACTTCTCTGTGTGGGATCTCACCATTTATAAAATAAAAACACTACTACCACTGCTGCTGCTGCTGCTGCTGCTACTACTAATACGTAAATCACAGGGTTCTTTAAAAGATTAAATGAGCTAATAAATGTAAAGCACTTAAAACAGTACTATTAGAACAGATGCAACATAACTGTTACCTATATTATCATATTAATATTTAGGAGACAATACATGGGCAATTCAGTTTTAACCCAGAAAAGTAAAAATGGTTTAACGTTAGAAAAAGTTTATAACTGTAAGTCATCAAACCAATTTATTTTTATTTATTTTTGGCTGAGTTGGGTCTTTGTTGCTGTGCCCGGGCTTTCTCTAGTTGAAGCGAGTGGGGGCTACTCTTCGTTGAGGTGCATGGGCTTCTCATTGCGGTGGCTTCTTTTGTTGCGGAGCATGGGCTCTAGGCGCGCGGGCTTCAGTAGTTGTGGCTCACGGGCTCTAGAGCACAGGCTCAGCAGTTGTGGCACAGGGGCTAAGGTGCTCCGTGGCATGTGGGATCTTCCCGGGCCAGGGCTCGAACCCGTGTCCACTGCATTGGCAGGCAGATTCTTAACCACTGCGCCACCACAGAAGCCCCAAACCAATTTATTAAAGGAGAACAATCATATAATTCCATCAATAGATATTAACAAATTTCTAGAAATTTGTTGCAATACTGTGCAAAAAAAGCACATTTAATAAAGTCAATACCCATTTTTGATAAAAATGATTAGCAAAATAGGAATAGAAGATAATTTTCTTAACCTGATAAAAAGTATTTACCAAAAACTTACAGAAAACATTATTATTTTCTTAGAAATCAGGAATAAGATAGGGATGCCTGCTATCATCACTTCTATTGAATGTTTTTGAGGTCCTAGCTTATACAGTAAGACAAAGAAAGAAAGAAAAGTAAAAAAAAAAAAAAAAAAAACCAAAAGACAAAGAAAAAAACCTGTCATTATTTCATAAAACCTCAAAGAATCTCAAATATATTATTACAATTAATAAGAGTTTAGCAATGTTCCTAGAACAGAATCAGTAAGAAAGTATAATTTTCAAGGTACCATTTAAAATATGAAAACTTACAATCATAAATTTAAGGAAAGGCAAACAAGACCTGTATAGAATTTTATGGAGAAACATTTTAAAATACTTTAACGATACAGAGTGACATACTATGTTTGTGGATAAAAAGACTGTGGGACTGCAGAGAAAATAATTTTATGTTTTTGTACAGTTAGGCCTTTCTAAGCAAATTTTACTGAAACTTGGAACATGAGTTAAAAGCAAGCCTTGTAAAGTAATTTATGACTAATTTAGATACGTAGTGAGAAAACTCCAAAGAGATTTAACTCCTGGACTTATGTGTTTACATTTCAAGGAGGGTTGGAGAGAGAGATAAGAGCCTGTACCAAGGAGAAAATCTCTTTATAGAGCTGGAGACTTGGACACATCTTTCCACTGGAGTGACTTATTTATATTCCAAAGAGTCCTAGATCCTTCTCTTAAGGTTTCCAAGGAGACCCGCAGAAAGGTGGGTAGAGATAGAGGGGAAGCAGGAAGCATCTGCCTCTCTCCTCTATGTAAACACCCTGATTCACTATTTCGGGGCTCTTTCTCTACCATACAGTCTCCATATGTGTAGGGTTTTATCCAACCAGTTCTCATTGTGTTGCCCTAAAGGGTAAGAACTGGCATACAGGAAAGCCACCTGGTTTATGTCTTGTTTTGCTTTTCTGAATGTAAATCGTAATAATCTTTCCTTGCTCTTGAAATCTTGTGTGCATTTAGAATGATATTAATAAACATGGATAAGAACGTAAAGACTCAATGTTATAATGATGTCAATTCTCTTGAAATTGCTCTATGGATTTAATGCAATTTTAATCAAAATCCCATCACAGTTTTCAAGGAATAGAGAGTTGAGATATAGACCCATGCATAAATGGAAATTTAATATATGACAGAGGTGACACTGCTCATCACTAAGGGAAGGAGGGCCTATTTAGTAAATGAACAACTGGCTAGCCATATGGGAAAAAGTGAAATTGGATCCTTATATGATACACAAAAATAAATTTCTGATGCATTAAAAATTTAAATATGAAAACCAAACTTAAAAACTTCCAAGATAAAAATTTAGGAGAATTGTTTTTTACCTCAAATTTCTTACATAAGCCAGCAAATGCAATAATCATAAAAATGAAGACTGATAAATTTGACTACATTAAGACTAAAAACTTCTGTTAGTCAAAAGCTCCCATATACAAAATGAAAAGACAAGCCACTACCTGGGAGATATCTGTAACATACATAATCGATAAAAGATTAGCATGTCCAGAAAATTCTTACAAACCAATAAGGAAAAGACAAACAACCCAACAGAAAAATGTATAAAGTATATTAAGAAGCATTTCACAAAAGAAGAAATATAAATGATAAATGGACATGTGTGAGGATACTCAGCCTCATTAGTAATTAGAGAATGCAGATTAAGACCATACTAAAACATCATTTTAGACCTAAAATGTCAACTTAGATTAGGTTGGCCAAAAATAATATATCTAGTAATATAAAGTACTGTTGAATATAAAAACTCCTGTACACTATCGGTAGGAGTATAAACTGGTAGAAGCAGTGGAAAATGATTTGACATCATCATAAAAAATACAGTATTTCCATTGCGTATGACCCAATTATTCTATTCGTGTGTGTGTGTGTGTGTGTGTGTGTGTGTGTCTGGATATATGTTCAAGAATGATCATAGCAGCATCATGCATAGTAGCTATTAATTATAAGCAACCTAAATGTCTGCAAACAAAAAATTAGATAAGTAAATTGTGGGTGCTGCATAATGGTGTATTTTATAGCAACTAAATAAATGATCAACAGCTATACAGACAAATCTTAGAAACAACGTTGAGTGAAAAAAGCAAATTGCAAAAGATTGCATATACCATTTTACAAAGCTCAAAAAAAGCCAACACTAATATACTGTTTAGAGATACACTAATATGTGATAAAATTTTTTTAAGTAAGGGAATGATTAACATAAAATTCAGAACAGTGATTACCATTGTCAGGGAAGTGATGAGAAAGGAATAGGAAATGACTACCCAGGGCTATGTCACAAAATAGGTAACGCTCTATTTCTTAAGTTGGATGTTTGGTTCATTTTATTATTTGCGTCAAAACTTATATAATGGTACATTTATTTTTTATACGCATCAAATGAAAAAGATCTTGAAAAGAATATCTGCTGCCTGTAGGATATCAGGCAAATCATTTAAAATTCTTTATCAATATGATGTGTTTCATTTCAGTACTACTCTCTTCTCAAAATATACTGAAAGGATTTTTAATATTAAAACTTATTAAAAATTGGCCAAGTACCTGTTACTATAAATCTAGATATCAGATGCTCATCCTTATTATGTTAACCAAGTTTGGCTGAGTAATCCTACCTTTAAATACATAATAGTAACTATTAATATAATATTATTAAAACAAATAGGATGTCTGTTATAAATTCCAAATATTATTAAATTGACCATGAATATAAATGAATCTATACAAAACACTGCTTGAAAGCGCATCAAGAAAAAAGTAAAAATATACTAATCTAATTCACTTTGACCTTCATAGCTTTCTCTGTTAATCTTTTTGATTAGCTTCATCGGCAAAAGGTTATTTGTTTTATTTTTAATTACCTCCATTTCTTTACAGGCAGCAAGACTTATAAGTCTTCCCCAGAAGGACTTCATCTGTTTTATCAATGAATTATATACAACATCATTGAATACAATCTATACTATGCCATAAACCACTCATTTCTTTTTTGCATTGGCTAGTATTAATTCCAACATTCTAAAATTTGTTAATGAAAGGCAAAGTACACACAGCATATCATTTATATAAAGTATTTTTCTCTAGTGCTCGAATATTATATATCCTATTGGACTGTGTTACTGTGTCCTAGCTATTAACAAATTTTGTTGATGTTTATAGTAATATTTACGTGTTCACAAAGTTCTTATGAAAGTAACTTCAGCTTATTCATCCATGCTTTGAAAGATAAACTGACATCTAAAAAACTGATTAAAGAATTAAAGAAATTTTCTATCATAATCTTTAAAGAATGCTCATATTGGCAAGTCACAATGAAAATATGCCTGTATTTTTCATTCTTCCATAGACACTAAACAAATTTTTACTATTCTCTCACTTCTTCATAGTATTTCTTTTTCAATAACATTTACTTTTAATCAAGTCCTTTGATTATTAACTCTCCAAAAGATTCTGAACTTTGAAGCCTCGAAAATTTAGAAGTTTCTTCATAACTAGCCATTCATCAAATGTCATACACCAAAATAATTCTTAAATTTTTAAACCATCTTTTTACAAAGTATACTATATATTATTGTAATTCCTTATGAATGCTTTCAGTATACAAATTAAACAAGATTAAGAATTCAGAAAAGGCTTTAACAATCTATCTATGTATTTTTACCTTATTTAATTCTTCCCTTTCTTGCTGTAATGTTTTGATTTGTTTTTCATAAGCCTTGATTTGTCTAAAAGCATCATCTAGTTCTCGCCTCACAGAATTAGCTTCTTCAAGTTGCTGTTCCAAGTGACTTGATTCTAAAAACAGGAAACAATGTTTCTTTTACTATTTGCATAAAAATAAATACTCAAAACCAAGGTTTAAAGCAACTAAATTTTAAAAAATAAAGTATTTTGAAACTGGTATTCAGCTTATCAACAACCACATGCCACTGACTCATGAAAATTAAGTGCTTATCAGTTCACTGTAAAGATGGTTTATAGGTAATGCCAGGATGAAGAACAAATTTTAAGTGCAAAGTTTTGCACAGAATTTATGTGCAAAAATGCCTTCATATCTATTAGAAAAAAAAGACCATAATTCCAAAAAACAGTATCTTCAGAACCAATTGAAAACTTAAAACTAACAAAAAAGAACACGACCAATCAAACAAAATAGATAACTTTTCCTCTACTGTTAGTTAGCATTCTTCTGCTGATATTACTCAAATTATTGTATGATGATGGTTTTGCTTGTAACGTTGTGGCTCCAGATCACCCCGCCTGGTTTCACTAGTGGTGATTTGAAGAATAAACTCTGATTTCTAAAAGCAAATATTTGAAATAGGCTCAGGGAGTTGAGTAACTTGCCTAAGGTCACATTGCTAAATGAGTATCAGAGCTAACTACAGCCCACCAGTCTTATATCAACCTCTCCAACTTAAAAAGTAATGTAATCAAGTGATGTATAACATTATAAGTTCAGAAGAGTTATTATAAAAGAAAATAAAATTATTAATCTTAACATATGCTTAAATAAAATTTAATAAATTGATATGAAATATCCCTGGCATCAATAGTAAATTAGCAAATTAAAGAACTGAAGCCAGTGAAAACAGAGAAATCTAAACACATTCATTGTTAATTTTGTTCTGGATATTTTCTATTCTTTACAGCCTTGTTACTCTTGAGTGTCATCCCCAGAGAAGTAGCATTAGCATCCTCTGGGAGCTTGTCAGAAATGCAGATCCTCAGGCCCCACCCCAGACCTAATGAATCAGAATCTATATTTTAACAAGATCCTCAGGTGGCTCATTCGCAAATTAAAGGCTGGGAACAAATGCACAGAGCATTGCACACTGTTGAGTTTGATGCTTTCAATAAATGAAGAAGTGTTTATAATACGTTAGTTCTATTGAAAAGAGCATTTCATTTGTATAGACAAGTCCTGTAGTCAAGAAATAACTTAAATGTATCCATGTATTACACACCAACTGGTTCTAGATTCCTTAAATAAAATAATTTACTAATATTCAGTGCCCTAAACTTACAGATTTATTAAAAGCTTATTTATATTAGGTATTAGTTTTTAGCAATTTTGAAAATATCTGCAAAGTTGCATTTAATCAGTTTTCATTTTGTCTTAATAGTATGTGTTAAGTGTTTTCCTTGAAGAACAATAAAAAAGTATCAATGGATGTTTAATCTTAAGGATCACAGGGTATTTAGTCTTATATTCAGAAAATTACATCTTATCATTTTCTCAAATTTCAGCATTTCATGTGGGAATTTTTCTGTTTATACTAATTTCTTTTAAACATCTTAAAATTTTTTTGTTGTTATTTTAACTTTTCAGCATTTTTAGGATTTCAATGATTTGTAAAGTAGGTATAATTTAGTTTGTTATTTCTAATAACTTGGAGTCAAAATTTAGTATGTGACACAGCTGATTTCTATCATTTCTGGGGTCATTTTAATCAAATTTTATGGCTAAAGTTTATCAATCTAGAGTAGTAAGTAACATGGTACATTTAGTAATGCCTTCTGAGAACGCTCACTTCCTTTCTTCTACTTTGAAAAGTTCTTCCCTAGCATGTTAAAATTTTTTGCAAATTATTGAGTCATCCATTTATCTAAACTGCTGTGTTAGAAACTAAAAAAGTATCAATATTTAATAAAATGTCTGCATCATATAAAGTTTACAGCAAAATGTATTAAATGTGATAGCTTCAACAGCCTTTAAGAATGTTTTTATTGTTTTATTTCAATATAGGTTAAATTTTAGTTTTATCCCAGCCATTTCATGTTGGCAGCTTTGCCATGGAGTTAAGTAGATAATACAAAATACATGTCAGATTTTCATGACTCATATTTCAGACACTTTAAAAATGCCTAAAAAACTCAAAATATTCATTTAAACAACAACAACAGGTAAATTATGAGAAGTACATGATGAAATGTACTGGCTAAAGAAGTTGGAGAAGACAAACCCGGCCAATTACTTATAAAACCCTCTAATATGGAGAAAAGTATAGCACTTGTAATTTGGAATACACAGAATTTTGTATCGCCAAAGACAAAAACCCCAAATCAAGAAAAATTCAGAATGTATTGAACTTTGGCCAACTACTTATAAAATGGCTCAGGCAGAAGAGCCTTCACTTTCACTACAACAAATAGAAAATTCGATTAAAATTTTGAAAGAAATCCTCTAAGACTATCAAAAATATCTATTAAATATATGGCAACATGACTAGCCAAAACATTTAGATGAAGTTATTTAAAACTATTTTAGTGATTAAATTGAAAAGCAGTACTAGGGAAGTGAGATTAGCTCATAGCAACAAAATGGTTCTTAACTCACTGCTGCTAGTAGAATCCTGAAACTCAATCTGTTAGTAATAAGGATTTAAGGAGGGCACAATACACAGGAATTTTCTTTGCACTGTGTGGTATATAAGAGAAATATAAAATACAGTCTCTGTCTTGAAGGAGATAGGAAGACAAGAGTAACACTCTTTAAATCATAAAGGAGAAAATCAAATACAAATTGTGTGGCAGGTTATATGGATGATATAGGAATTAAGAGAAGGGCATGACTACAGTGGCACTCACAGCAGAACACTGATAAACTACAGAGGGACTGAGGCTGGAGTCAGAAGGAGGTTGACAGAACAATCAAAGCACCTCTCTCTCTGATACACAAGAGCAGTGTCACAGCTTTTCCATTATGGTCTTATTTCTCAAATAATCCATAAGTCTTCTGATGTGAAGAGATTTTACTTGCTAACCATGATGAAGGAAAACAGATTTCCCTATTATCTTCCCCTCCATTCACTATTTTTCTCCTTTACTTACATATTGTAGGACAGTATGTGTGTGTGTTTGTGTGTGTGAGGGAGAAAGAGACAGAGACAGAAAGCGAGAGAAAGGGGACAGAGGGAGACAGAGAAAGGGTGGTTTCAGTGTAGAGTTGGAGGGACACAGACAGTACACAGAGGTGCAAACCATAACCCTTGAGGCACTGTATGGCAATTCCTAAAAAATTAAACACAGAATTACCACATAATTCAGGAATTCCACTTCTTATTATATACTCAAAAGAAGAGAAAGCAGGGACTTGAACAGATATTTGTACAGTCATGTTCAAAGCAGCATTATTATTCACAATAAACAAAAGGCGGAAGCAATCCAATAGTCCATTTATAAATGAGTGGATAAACAAAATATGGTATATACATACTGAGGAATATTGTATTAAGGTAGGAAGTTCTGACACATGCTATAACATGGATGAACCTTGAATACACTATGCTAAGCGAAATAAGTCAGTCACAAAAGGACAAATATTTTATGATTCCATTTATATGAGGTTCCTAGAGCAGTCAGATTCTAAGAAACAGAAAGTAGCATGGTGGATGCCAGGGCCTAGTGGGTGGGAGGAATATGAGTTATTGTTTAATGGATAAAGTAGAGATGGATGGTGGAGATGGTTGTACAGCATTGTGAATGTGCTTAACGTCACTGAACTGTACATTGAAAAATGGTTAAAATGATCATTTTAATATTTTGCACAGACCTACTAGAGAATGGACTTGAGGATATGGGGAGGGGGAAGGGTAAGCTGTGACAAAGTGAGAGAGTGGCATGGACATATATACACTACCAAACGTAAAATAGATAGCTAGTGGGAAGCAGCCACATAGCACAGGGAGATCAGCTCGGTGCTTTGTGACCACCTAAAGGGGTGGGATAGGGAAAGTGGGAGGAGGGAGACTCAAGAGGGAAGAGATATGGGAACACATGTATATGTATAACTGATTCACTTTGTTATAAAGCAGAAACTAACACACCATTGTAAAGCAATTATACTCCAATAAAGATGTAAAAAAAAAGATTAAAAAATGAATTAATGAATGATACTGAGGAGATGGAATAAAATCTAGAGTATCACTGGGACTAACACGTGACCAAGAAAACAGTGCTTGCGAAGGAAGAATACTAAAAAGAGGGATATAGCCTTTCTTACAACATTATTTTCACTGCTTCTATTCCACCTCTGGGAAATGATAAAAAATAATGAGTAGAGTAATCCGATAAGCACTGACTTTAGGAAGAAGGTAGGAATAAAGTAAAGGAAGGGCATTTCAACCAATAATTTAATGGTAATCAATTTCCCCAATTCGGATGACGCCAGGGACCATTTATTTGTATGTAAGGGATGTGAGTGTGTTGGGGATTGCCTGTAAAGAAACAATGTAGGAAGATACATTAGGAAGTGGTCAGAGATTTCCAAGAGTGAGGTTTCATTTAGTCGTTCATTCACTCATTCATCAACAAATACCGATTTAGGGGTTTTTATGTGGCAAGCATCATTATAGGCACTTCGATATATCAATGAATAAAATACTCAAAGTCCCTGTTTTCAAGGAGCTTATAGTCTAGTGGTAAGGCAAGGGAAGTAAAGCAACATAAAATTTTAAAAATGTGTCAGTGGTGAAAAGTTCTATAGAGAAGTAGAAATTTACCAGGTGAAGAGTGTTTCCAGCAAACAAACAAGCAAAAAGAAAGAAAGAAAGAAATAGATGTTTAGACGGATGGATGGATGGATAGATGGATGGACGGACAGATGGATGGATGAAAAAAATGAATGAAATGGGGGTGAAAAAAAAGAAGACTACATAAAAACACAACAACCAAATATGTGTAAAATCTGGAGGTGATTAGGTGAAACTAAAAGTAGTTCACCATGGCTGGGATCAGTGGGTGAGGGAGTAATGACAAAAGACAAACCTAGAGAGGAAAATACATGCAAGATA